ACCGACCAGATCCATGGTAAGTGTCACTCACACTGCCTGTCAGTCATCACCTGGAGACTGGAGACTCCTCACACCGACCAGATCCATGGTAAGTGTCACTCACACTTCCTGTCAGTCATCACCTGGAGACTGGAGACACCTCACACCGACCAGATCCATGGTAAGTGTCACTCACACTTCCTGTCAGTCATCACCTGGAGACTGGAGACTGGAGACTCCTCACACCGACCAGATCCATGGTAAGTGTCACTCACACTTCCTGTCAGTCATCACCTGGAGACTGGAGACTGGAGACGCCTCACACCGACCAGATCCATGGTAAGTGTCACTCACACTTCCTGTCCGTCATCCCCTGGAGACTGGAGACACCTCACACCGACCAGATCCATGGTAAGTGTCACTCACACTGCCTGTCAGTCATCACCTGGAGACTGGAGACTCCTCACTCCGACCAGATCCATGGTAAGTGTCACTCACACTTCCTGTCCGTCATCACCTGGAGACTGGAGACGCCTCACACCGACCAGATCCATGGTAAGTGTCACTCACACTTCCTGTCAGTCATCACCTGGAGACTGGAGACTCCTCACACCGACCAGATCCATGGTAAGTGTCACTCACACTTCCTGTCAGTCATCACCTGGAGACTGGAGACTGGAGACACCTCACACTGACCAGATCCATGGTAAGTGTCACTCACACTTCCTGTCCGTCATCACCTGGAGACTGGAGACACCTCACACCGACCAGATCCATGGTAAGTCTCACTCACACTTCCTGTCAGTCATCACCTGGAGACTGGAGACACCTCACACCGACCAGATCCATGGTAAGTGTCACTCACACTTCCTGTCAGTCATCACCTGGAGACTGGAGACTGGAGACACCTCACACCGACCAGATCCATGGTAAGTGTCACTCACACTTCCTGTCAGTCATCACCCTGAGACTGGAGACTGGAGACACCTCACACAGACCAGATCCATGGTAAGTGTCACTCACACTTCCTGTCAGTCATCACCTGGAGACTGGAGACACCTCACACCGACCAGATCCATGGTAAGTGTCACTCACACTTCCTGTCAGTCATCACCTGGAGACTGGAGACTGGAGACTCCTCACACCGACCAGATCCATGGTAAGTGTCACTCACACTTCCTGTCAGTCATCACCTGGAGACTGGAGACTGGAGACGCCTCACACCGACCAGATCCATGCTAAGTGTCACTCACACTTCCTGTCCGTCATCCTCTGGAGACTGGAGACACCTCACACCGACCAGATCCATGGTAAGTGTCACTCATACTGCCTGTCAGTCATCACCTGGAGACTGGAGACTCCTCACTCCGACCAGATCCATGGTAAGTGTCACTCACACTTCCTGTCCGTCATCACCTGGAGACTGGAGACGCCTCACACCGACCAGATCCATGGTAAGTGTCACTCACACTTCCTGTCAGTCATCACCTGGAGACTGGAGACTCCTCACACCGACCAGATCCATGGTAAGTGTCACTCACACTTCCTGTCAGTCATCACCTGGAGACTGGAGACTGGAGACACCTCACACTGACCAGATCCATGGTAAGTGTCACTCACACTTCCTGTCCATCATCACCTGGAGACTGGAGACACCTCACACCGACCAGATCCATGGTAAGTCTCACTCACACTTCCTGTCAGTCATCACCTGGAGACTGGAGACTGGAGACTCCTCACACCGACCAGATCCATGGTAAGTGTCACTCACACTTCCTGTCAGTCATCACCTGGAGACTGGAGACTGGAGACACCTCACACTGACCAGATCCATGGTAAGTGTCACTCACACTTCCTGTCCGTCATCACCTGGAGACTGGAGACACCTCACACCGACCAGATCCATGGTAAGTGTCACTCACACTTCCTGTCAGTCATCACCTGGAGACTGGAGACTCCTCACACCGACCAGATCCATGGTAAGTGTCACTCACACTTCCTGTCAGTCATCACCTGGAGACTGGAGACTCCTCACACCGACCAGATCCATGGTAAGTGTCACTCACACTTCCTGTCAGTCATCACCTGGAGACTGGAGACTGGAGACTCCTCACACCGACCAGATCCATGGTAAGTGTCACTCACACTTCCTGTCAGTCATCACCTGGAGACTGGAGACTCCTCACACCGACCAGATCCATGGTAAGTGTCACTCACACTTCCTGTCAGTCATCACCTGGAGACTGGAGACACCTCACACCGACCAGATCCATGGTAAGTGTCACTCACACTTCCTGTCAGTCATCATCTGGAGACTGGAGACTGGAGACTCCTCACACTGACCAGATCCATGGTAAGTGTCACTCACACTTCCTGTCCGTCATCACCTGGAGACTGGAGACACCTCACACCGACCAGATCCATGATAAGTCTCACTCACACTTCCTGTCAGTCATCACCTGGAGACTGGAGACTCCTCACACCGACCAGATCCATGGTAAGTGTCACTCACACTTCCTGTCCGTCATCCCCTGGAGACTGGAGACACCTCACACCGACCAGATCCATGGTAAGTGTCACTCACACTGCCTGTCAGTCATCACCTGGAGACTGGAGACTCCTCACACCGACCAGATCCATGGTAAGTGTCACTCACACTTCCTGTCAGTCATCACCTGGAGACTGGAGACTCCTCACACCGACCAGATCCATGGTAAGTGTCACTCACACTTCCTGTCAGTCATCACCTGGAGACTGGAGACTGGAGACGCCTCACACCGACCAGATCCATGGTAAGTGTCACTCACACTTCCTGTCCGTCATCCCCTGGAGACTGGAGACACCTCACACCGACCAGATCCATGGTAAGTGTCACTCACACTGCCTGTCAGTCATCACCTGGAGACTGGAGACTCCTCACACCGACCAGATCCATGGTAAGTGTCACTCACACTTCCTGTCCGTCATCACCTGGAGACTGGAGACGCCTCACACCGACCAGATCCATGGTAAGTGTCACTCACACTTCCTGTCAGTCATCACCTGGAGACTGGAGACTCCTCACACCGACCAGATCCATGGTAAGTGTCACTCACACTTCCTGTCAGTCATCACCTGGAGACTGGAGACTGGAGACACCTCACACTGACCAGATCCATGGTAAGTGTCACTCACACTTCCTGTCCGTCATCACCTGGAGACTGGAGACACCTCACACCGACCAGATCCATGGTAAGTCTCACTCACACTTCCTGTCAGTCATCACCTGGAGACTGGAGACACCTCACACCGACCAGATCCATGGTAAGTGTCACTCACACTTCCTGTCAGTCATCATCTGGAGACTGGAGACTGGAGACTCCTCACACCGACCAGATCCATGGTAAGTGTCACTCACACTTCCTGTCCGTCATCACCTGGAGACTGGAGACACCTCACACCGACCAGATCCATGATAAGTCTCACTCACACTTCCTGTCAGTCATCACCTGGAGACTGGAGACACCTCACACCGACCAGATCCATGGTAAGTGTCACTCACACTTCCTGTCAGTCATCCCCTGGAGACTGGAGACACCTCACACCGACCAGATCCATGGTAAGTGTCACTCACACTGCCTGTCAGTCATCACCTGGAGACTGGAGACTCCTCACACCGACCAGATCCATGGTAAGTGTCACTCACACTTCCTGTCAGTCATCACCTGGAGACTGGAGACACCTCACACCGACCAGATCCATGGTAAGTGTCACTCACACTTCCTGTCAGTCATCACCTGGAGACTGGAGACTGGAGACTCCTCACACCGACCAGATCCATGGTAAGTGTCACTCACACTTCCTGTCAGTCATCACCTGGAGACTGGAGACTGGAGACGCCTCACACCGACCAGATCCATGGTAAGTGTCACTCACACTTCCTGTCCGTCATCCCCTGGAGACTGGAGACACCTCACACCGACCAGATCCATGGTAAGTGTCACTCACACTGCCTGTCAGTCATCACCTGGAGACTGGAGACTCCTCACTCCGACCAGATCCATGGTAAGTGTCACTCACACTTCCTGTCCGTCATCACCTGGAGACTGGAGACGCCTCACACCGACCAGATCCATGGTAAGTGTCACTCACACTTCCTGTCAGTCATCACCTGGAGACTGGAGACTCCTCACACCGACCAGATCCATGGTAAGTGTCACTCACACTTCCTGTCAGTCATCACCTGGAGACTGGAGACTGGAGACACCTCACACTGACCAGATCCATGGTAAGTGTCACTCACACTTCCTGTCCGTCATCACCTGGAGACTGGAGACACCTCACACCGACCAGATCCATGGTAAGTCTCACTCACACTTCCTGTCAGTCATCACCTGGAGACTGGAGACACCTCACACCGACCAGATCCATGGTAAGTGTCACTCACACTTCCTGTCAGTCATCACCTGGAGACTGGAGACTGGAGACACCTCACACCGACCAGATCCATGGTAAGTGTCACTCACACTTCCTGTCAGTCATCACCCTGAGACTGGAGACTGGAGACACCTCACACAGACCAGATCCATGGTAAGTGTCACTCACACTTCCTGTCAGTCATCACCTGGAGATCAACCAGATCCATGTAGCTGTGTGAGACTATGGTGAGAGTTGTTTCGTACAGATAATAGCCTTGTGCATACTGTAAGACTGGAGACCAGATCCATGTAGCTGTGTGAGACTATGGTGAGAGTTGTTTCGTACAGATAATAGCCTTGTGTATACTGTAAGACTGGAGACCAGATCCATGTAGCTGTGTGAGACTATGGTGAGAGTTGTTTCGTACAGATAATAGCCTTGTGCATACTGTAAGACTGGAGACCAGATCCATGTAGCTGTGTGAGACTATGGTGAGAGTTGTTTCGTACAGATAATAGCCTTGTGTATACTGTAAGACTGGAGACCAGATCCATGTAGCTGTGTGAGACTATGGTGAGAGTTGTTTCGTACAGATAATAGCCATGTGCATACTGTAATTCCAGGGAGAATGACTGGACTCCGAGCGCTGATGACAGTTTTGAGATCAATTTGGATGACCTTCGACCTCTGGAGCCATTCCTGCTGTCCTTGCAGGATCTCCCGCAGGATCCCGTAGACCTCATGTTTCAGGTTAGGAGTCAGCAGGGTAGACAATGCGAAGATCACTGAGAAAATGGCACAAAATGTTCTGGATAAATAACAAAAAAACCCATTGTGTCAAAGAGTTAAATAGTATACTAATATTACCATGCATGCTAAATAACACATCTTATGACTCTAATATCATGAGGGGGGATATGTGACTGTTTTGAATGTATCAGTGTGCCCCTCCTCTACTTCAGAATGTGATCACCCAGATGCTGGCCGTGCACCCGGAGCTGCTGGGGGACCAGGCCCCACCCCCCGTGCCTCAGACTGTCATTGACAGCCTCCCCTCCCTCACAGCTACACACGACAACATAGGTGAGTCACATCTACACACGACAACATAGGTGAGTCACATCTACACACGACAACATAGGTGAGTCACAGCTACACAGCATAGGTGAGTCACAGCTACACAACAGGTGAGTCAGCTACACAACATAGGTGAGTCACAGCTACACACGACAACATAGGTGGGTCACAGCAACACAGCATAGGTGAGTCACAGCTACACACGACAACATAGGTGGGTCACATCTACACAACATAGGTGAGTCACAGCTACACAGCATAGGTGAGTCACAGCTACACATGACAACATAGGTGGGTCACATCTACACAACATAGGTGAGTCAGCTACACAACATAGGTGAGTCACAGCTACACATGACAACATAGGTGAGTCACAGCTACACAACATAGGTGAGTCACAGCTACACAGCATAGGTGAGTCACAGCTACACACGACAACATAGGTGAGTCACATCTACACACGACAACATAGGTGAGTCACATCTACACACGACAACATAGGTGAGTCACAGCTACACATCATAGGTGAGTCACAGCTACACAACAGGTGAGTCAGCTACACAACATAGGTGAGTCACAGCTACACACGACAACATAGGTGGGTCACATCTACACACAACATAGGTGAGTCACAGCTACACAACATAGGTGAGTCACAGCTACACACGACAACATAGATGAGTCACAGCTACACAACAAAGGTGTGTCACAGTTACACAACATAGGTGAGTCACAGCTACACAACATAGGTGAGTCACAGCTACACAACATAGGTGAGTCACAGCTACACAACATAGGTGAGTCACAGCTACACAACATAGGTGAGTCACAGCTACACAACAAAGGTGAGTCACAGTTACACAACATAGGTGAGTCACAGCTACACAACAAAGGTGTGTCACAGTTACACAACATAGGTGAGTCACAGCTACACAACAAAGGTGTGTCACAGTTACACAACATAGGTGGGTCACATCTACACACAACATAGGTGAGTCACAGCTACACAGCATAGGTGAGTCACAGCTACACACGACAACATAGGTGAGTCACATCTACAAACGACAACATAGGTGAGTCACAGCATAGGTGAGTCACAGCTACACACGACAACATAGGTGAGTCACATCTACACACGACAACATAGGTGAGTCACAGCTACACACGACAACATAGGTGAGTCACATCTACAAACGACAACATAGGTGAGTCACAGCATAGGTGAGTCACAGCTACACACGACAACATAGGTGAGTCACAGCTACACAACATAGGTGAGTCACATCTACACACGACAACATAGGTGAGTCACAGCATAGGTGAGTCACAGCTACACAACATAGGTGGGTCACAGCTACGCACAACAACATAGGTGAGTCACAGCTACACAACATAGGTGAGTCACAGCTACACAACATAGGTGAGTCACAGCTACACAACATAGGTGAGTCACAGTTACACAACATAGGTGAGTCACAGTTACACAACATAGGTGAGTCACAGCTACACAACAAAGGTGTGTCACAGTTACACAACATAGGTGTCACAGCTACACAACAAAGGTGAGTCACAGTTACACAACATAGGTGAGTCACAGCTACACAACATAGGTGAGTCACAGCTACACAACAAAGGTGTGTCACAGTTACACAACAAAGGTGAGTCACAGTTACACAACAAAGGTGAGTCACAGCTACACAACAAAGGTGTGTCACAGTTACACAACAAAGGTGAGTCACAGTTACACAACAAAGGTGAGTCACAGCTACACAACAAAGGTGTGTCACAGTTACACAACATAGGTGAGTCACAGTTACACAACATAGGTGAGTCACAGCTACACAACATAGGTGAGTCACAGCTACACAACATAGGTGAGTCACGGCTACACAACAGGTGAGTCACAGCTACATAACATAGGTGAGTCACAGCTACACCCCCTGTGCCTCAGACTGTCATTGACAGCCTCCCTTCCCTCACAGCTACACACTAAACATAGATGAGTCACAGCTACACGCTAAACATAGGTGAGTCACAGCTACACAACATAGGTGAGTCACAGCTACACAACATAGGTGAGTCACAGCTTTCTGTGTAGCCTTCTCTGTGACAATGACGTCATTGTCTTTCTCTTCCAGTAGATGATGACCTCACCTGCCCTGTGTGCCTCTGTCACTTCCAGCGTGGAGAGGACATGACCCGACTGCCCTGTCATCACCTGTACCACCCACTGTGTATCCAGGCCTGGCTCGCCAAGGTACGTAGTGTGTCCCTCTACCCTGTCTGTACCGCCCACTGTGTATCCAGGCCTGGCTCGCCAAGGTACGTAGTGTCCCCCTCTACCCTGTCTGTACCACCCACTGTGTATCCAGGCCTGGCTCGCCAAGGTACGTAGTGTGTCCCTCTACCCTGTCTGTACCACCCACTGTGTATCCAGGCCTGGCTCGCCAAGGTACGTAGTGTCCCCCTCTACCCTGTCTGTACCGCCCACTGTGTATCCAGGCCTGACTGGCCAAGGTACATAGTGTATCCCTCTACCCTGTCCGTACCACCCACTGTGTTGTGTGTCCCTCTACCCTGCCTGTACCACCCACTGTGTTGTGTGTCCCTCTACCCTGTCTGTACCACCCACTGTGTTGTGTGTCCCTCTACCCTGTCTGTACCACCCACTGTGTTGTGTGTCCCTCTACCCTGTCTGTACCACCCACTGTGTTGTGTGTCCCTCTACCCTGTCTGTACCGCCGACTGTGTTGTGTGTCCCTCTACCCTGTCTGTACCACCCACTGTGTTGTGTGTCCCTCTACCCTGTCTGTACCACCCACTGTGTTGTGTGTCCCTCTACCCTGTCTGTACCACCCACTGTGTTGTGTGTCCCTCTACCCTGTCTGTACCACCCACTGTGTTGTGTGTCCCTCTACCCTGTCTGTACCACCCACTGTGTTGTGTGTCCCTCTACCCTGTCTGTACCACCCTCTGTGTTGTGTGTCCCTCTACCCTGTCTGTACCACCCACTGTGTATCCATGCCTGACTCTCCAAGGTACGTAGTGTGTCCCCCTCTACCCTGTCTGTACCACCCACTGTGTATCCATGCCTGACTCTCCAAGGTACGTAGTGTGTCCCCCTCTACCCTGTCTGTACCACCCACTGTGTATCCAGGCCTGGCTCGCCAAGGTACGTAGTGTGTCCCCCTCTACCCTGTCTGTACCACCCACTGTGTTGTGTGTCCCTCTACCCTGTCTGTACCACCCACTGTGTTGTGTGTCCCTCTACCCTGCCTGTACCACCCACTGTGTTGTGTGTCCCTCTACCCTGCCTGTACCACCCACTGTGTTGTGTGTCCCTCTACCCTGTCTGTACCACCCACTGTGTTGTGTGTCCCTCTACCCTGTCTGTACCGCCCACTGTGTTGTGTGTCCCTCTACCCTGTCTGTACCGCCGACTGTGTTGTGTGTCCCTCTACCCTGTCTGTACCACCCACTGTGTTGTGTGTCCCTCTACCCTGTCTGTACCGCAGACTGTGTTGTGTCCCCCTCTACCCTGTCTGTACCACCCACTGTGTTGTGTGTCCCTCTACCCTGTCTGTACCACCCACTGTGTTGTGTGTCCCTCTACCCTGTCTGTACCGCCGACTGTGTTGTGTGTCCCTCTACCCTGTCTGTACCACCCACTGTGTTGTGTCCCCCTCTACCCTGTCTGTACCACCCACTGTGTATCCAGGCCTGGCTCACCAAGGTACGTAGTGTGTCCCTCTACCCTGTCTGTACTGCCCACTGTGTATCCAGGCCTGCCTGGCCAAGGTACGTTGTGTGTCCCTCTACCCTGTCTGTACCACCAACTGTGTATCCAGGCCTGCCTGGCCAAGGTACGTTGTGTGTCCCTCTACCCTGTCTGTACCACCCACTGTGTATCCAGGCCTGGCTCGCCAAGGTACGTAGTGTGTCCCTCTACCCTGTCTGTACCACCCACTGTGTTGTGTGTCCCTCTACCCTGTCTGTACCACCCACTGTGTATCCATGCCTGACTCTCCAAGGTACGTAGTGTGTCCCTCTACCCTGTCTGTACCACCCACTGTGTATCCATGCCTGACTCTCCAAGGTACGTAGTGTGTCCCCCTCTACCCTGTCTGTACCACCCACTATGTTGTGTGTCCCTCTACCCTGTCTGTACCACCCACTGTGTATCCAGGCCTGGCTCGCTAAGGTACATTGTGTCCCCCTCTACCCTGTCATCACCTGTACCCCCAATTCAGTGTGTCTGTTACCTGTACAATGATGTATTCCTTGTCTTGCAGTCTGGCACATGTCCTGTTTGCCGACACAGTCTACACAATGAAGGTGAAGGTCGGAGTGAGGATTGATAGAAGGTCAAGGTCAACTGGATGACCAAAACAAGATATTAGCTTCTAGGCAACAATGATATTGTTTTAGTAACTTATTACTTATGTTATGTCCAGGTGGAGATGAAATTGATAATGCACAGTCACATTCCGCCTATTGGTTGCTCGATTGTTACCGTGGTTACCCTGGAGGTTATATTGTGCTTTGTGGGCACCACAGGGTAATGTGTTATGGACGTTAAAATCTGTTGATTTTCATTTTGAATGTAAGTCTAGATGTGGCTAGATCCCTGAACTTGTTGTTGCGGAATGGTCCGTAGTGGTTGTCGCCTTTTTACCTTACTGTGCTGTGATTGTATTGTCATAGTGTTAGCTGGATGACTGGTTCCTCTCCCTGAAGCTTGTATGCGTGTCTCCGTCTTTACACTGACAGTAGACAATACTGTCCCCCACACCAGTGCCCCCAGTACATCAGACCACCCCTGTGTTAGCTGTTGGTAACCCCCGTGGAGATGACTGGTTCCTCTCCCTGAAGCTTGTATGCGTGTCTCCATCTTTACACTGACAGTAGACAACACTGTCCCCCACACCAGCGCCCCCAGTACATCAGACCACCCCTGTTTGTTAGTCTCAGCACCCCCAGTACATCAGACCACCCCTGTATGTTAGCCTCAGCACCCCCAGTACATCAGACCACCCCTGTATGTTAGTCTCAGCACCCCCAGTACATCAGACCACCCCTGTATGTTAGCCTCAGCGCCCCCAGTACATCAGACCACCCCTGTATGTTAGTCTCAGCACCCCCAGTACATCAGACCACCCCTGTATGTTAGTCTCAGCGCCCCCAGTACATCAGACCACCCCTGTGTTTTAGTCTCAGTGCCCCCAGTACATCAGACCACCCCTGTATGTTAGTCTCAGCACCCCCAGTACATCAGACCACCCCTGTTTGTTAGTCTCAGCACCCCCAGTACATCAGACCACCCCTATGTGTTAGTCTCAGCGCCCCCAGTACATCAGACCACCCCTGTGTGTTAGTCTCAGTGCCCCCAGTACATCAGACCACCCCTGTATGTTAGTCTCAGCACCCCCAGTACATCAGACCACCCCTGTTTGTTAGTCTCAGCACCCCCAGTACATCAGACCACCCCTGTGTGTTAGTCTCAGCACCCCCAGTACATCAGACCGGCCCTGTATGTTAGTCTCAGCACCCCCAGTACATCAGACCACCCCTATGTGTTAGTCTCAGCACCCCCAGTACATCAGACCTCCCCTGTGTGTTAGTCTCAGCACCTCCCCATACATCAGACCACCCCTGTGTGTTAGTCTCAGCACCCCCCCATACATCAGACCACCCCTGTTTGTTAGACTCAGCGCCCCCAGTACATCAGACCACCCCTGTGTGTTAGTCTCAGCACCCCCAGTACATCAGACCACCCCTGTATGTTAGTCTCAGCACCCCCAGTACATCAGACCACCCCTGTTTGTTAGTCTCAGCGCCCCCAGTACATCAGACCACCCCTGTTTGTTAGTCTCAGCGCCCCCAGTACATCAGACCACCCCTGTTTTTTAGTCTCAGCACCCCCAGTACATCAGACCACCCCTGTATGTTAGTCTCAGCACCCCCAGTACATCAGACCACCCCTGTATGTTAGTCTCAGCGCCCCCCGTACATCAGACCACCCCTGTTTTTTAGTCTCAGCACCCCCAGTACATCAGACCACCCCTGTGTGTTAGTCTCAGCGCCCCCAGTACATCAGACCACCCCTGTATGTTAGTCTCAGTGCCCCCAGTACATCAGACCACCCCTGTATGTTAGTCTCAGTGCCCCCAGTACATCAGACCACCCCTGTGTGTTAGTCTCAGTGCCCCCAGTACATCAGACCACCCCTGTTTGTTAGCCTTATGTTAACCCTGCTGCTTGTATGAATGTCTTGGATACACACTGACTGCACACAAGACGTACCGACCCCAACACCCCAGCCTCTACACTAAGTCTGATCACCACTTGTGTTGAATGTCCACCCCTTGCTAGTCCTACTTGGGATGCAACTCTCTATCTTCACAATACATTATATACGACTTTGATAAAGGAAATGCTCTGAACCTCATGAGGGATGGAGGCATGGTTGTGTGTGGAGGTGAAAGTATTGATTGTGAACAATGAGAGGATCGTTCAGGCTATCCTACCTTAAGTTCCAAGCTCTCAGGCACAAGCCGGCGTTTTGGTGAAGGGGCCACCACTAGGATGGAAGCAGCCTCTAGTCCACTAGTCCGAGACTAGTGACATCTGACTTTCATAACCCCTACTGATGTATGTACCATGTGTTAACATAGTATTTACATGTAACATGTATGTACTATGTGTTCAAAGTATTTACATGTAACATGTGTCCACAGTGTTTACATGTATCATGTATGTACCATGTGTCCACAGTGTTTACATGTATCATGTTTGTACCATGTGTTACCAAAGTGTTTACATGTATCATGTGTGTACCATGTGTTCACAAAGTGTTTACATATACCATGTGTTTACAAAGTGTTTACATATACCATGTATGTACCATGTGTTCACAGTGTTTACATGAATCATGTATGTACCATGTGTTCACAGTGTTTACATGTATCATGTTTGTACCATGTGTTACCAAAGTGTTTACATGTAACATGTATGTACCATGTGTTCACGTGTTTACATGTATCATGTATGTACCATGTGTTCACAAACTGTTTACATGTATCATGTATGTACCATGTGTTCACAACGTGTGTACATGTATCATGTTTGTACCATGTGTTCACAAACTGTTTACATGTATCATGTATGTACCATGTGTTACCAATGTTTTTACATTACCTTGTGTGTACAATGTTCTCACGTGTGTAACATTGATATGCCATGTATTTATCATGTGTAACGTGTGTATCAGATGTGTAATTTGTTGATCATTGATGTACCATATGGGTACAGTGGATGTACCACGGATGGTACATGTGTGCACCACATGAATACTGCGGATGTACCATACATCTAGTATGGATGTTTCATTGTTATAAGCTACCGCTGTGTTTTTTCCTTGGGCACAGGGGATGTGTGATGTCTGTTTTCTACTCTCTATGTTAGCGTTATTGACATTAGTTATTATCAAATGTCACTTTTGTTAAGCATTTTCTTTTAGCTATTTAAAGATAAGACTGCCTTAAGAATCACCTTTTTGCGATTCCTAATTGTAGCCATGTACTTTTTTAGAAAGTCATGTTAACTTACCAATGTTGAAGATTATTGTTATCCAAACACTGCCAAGCTTATCCAAAGCTAGATTCTGTTAAAGTACTCACGGAAATGAAAAAAACCTGTTTTTCTCAATTTAAAAATGGACACAAAGTGTTACGTATCTGTAAATACAAAATAACAAAACAACTCGAAAAGTACTAGTCTGGATTTGCTAGTGTGATCTCAGTGAACAATACAAAATGTACTTTACAGGAGGTAATTTGTCATTACTTTCAACATTCAAAAATAAAACTAAGTCCAAATTGACATAGCAGAAACAGACTATAGGCATTATGCACCTGTTCTCACCTGTCGTCAAGGTGTCCTAGGTCATGGACATTCACCTTGATCTTCTTACACCTGGTTATGCCCTGTTTCACAATAGTCTGTTTTATTCACATTTTTACACACTTTTACGTGTAAAAAGGCATAAAAACATTTGATACGCTGTATTTGTGCCACGGCTCAATTAGTACTAATTTACTTGTTTGAATATTTACATATTTTGTATATTAACTGCATTTATTTAAGATCTAATGTCGAAAAAACAGGTTTTTTTCATTTCCGGGAGTACTTTAGTTCTGTGGGAATGTCCATTGTGTGTGGTCACTGGTCAAGTTTTGTTGCCAAAGGTCATTGGCAAGTCCCCAGCACTGGCCATGTGGTAAACCTGCTGACGTGACTTGTCCGTCTCATTACCCTACACATTATATTATAACTGATACACTTGTCCAAGTAGCATTTAAACCATCTCATTCCCAGAGAGTCTTGTTTCCTTTCCACGTCAAGTGACCAGAAAGCCCTCTATGTGTTTTGAAATTGTGGACAGAGATCTTAAAAACAAACCCAGGGCAACAGTGGTCTCTGGTGCCACACTGTGTTGTGCAGAGTGATGTACCTTTAGTGTGACAGAATCCTGTTATTGTGGGTTAGGGACTGGTAATTTATTATAGGGGGAGCGAGGATGTTTGAAAAAAATGAGAGCGAAAGAAGGGTGGTCGCTTAGACGTGTCACATCTATAAGGGGATGGGGAGGGTCTAGGGTGAAAATGACTGTTCTAATTTTTTAAGTATTTTTTTAATATAAATTATAACATTATTTAGGGACTGGCCATTTCATTTGGGGGCATGGAACCATGTTACATAATATGGGCGAGGGAGGGGCAGGGTGGGGCGGGGTGGTGGTCAAAATATGATCCAGTCCTTAGACCAATATAGACAGGAGACACAGCTAATTTGATGCAGCCCAACGATTTGTGTCAACAAAGTTCTACATTCTTATCTGATGATTTGAATTGAAGTCTACCTCAAGTCTTCAATAATTTAAAATTCTGCTGGTCTAGAATTCGCCATTACATGACAAGCTTACATATGTTACAAGTTGGAAATGTTAATGCTGTGATATGAAACAGGAAATTGTGTTTGCTTTTGTTTCCTTGTGGAGTTGTATTTGCCTCTTAAATAGCTCTGTTTGAATACATTTACAGTTCTACAGAAAATTTGCAAATTGCTTCCATGCATTGAACACACTGCTTTCTTCTTCAGAGGCTGTTGATTCAGCTGTCCTCGTGGTTGGTTTTACTTCCCAGCCCCTACATGATCAGATTTTACAAATGGGCTCTGGCTAGTTGGCAGTCCCATCCCATCAGTTAAAGTCACTTTGTGCGACTGCTAACTTCAAGTTCATGAATTTATAGCCTTCAAATTTATTTGCCCCAAGTGAGGGCAAGGATCATATTTCATTTTCATTCCTAATTTTGGATAAATGTCTATATTTCCGCTTGATTCCAAAATTTGGGTTGACAAGTATGGCTGGACAGAGCACCTGGTTTGTCTAGCCATGTTTACCAGCTTAACCAGGGAGTACTTCCATATTATAACCACTTGACATCCACTCTCCCATGGTCTAATGCTACAAATATGTTTCCTGTGTCACCAACTCCTGCTGACAATTGCTGCACCCAGTGCTGCCTTTCACAGTTGCACACATCCCATGACCGTACTTCCTGGAATAAACGCCAGGATTTGATTCAACAGCTGGTATGCATAGATTCGTCCCCATTATTATCTTTGCGATTAAACGCCGGGGTATAGAGTGTCTGAAAGAAATATTAACCTTGGTGTTTAATCGAGGTAGTACGGTAATTACTATATCTAAACCTGGACCAGGCCCCAGCCAGGGAGTGTCGTAACCCTTGCTGCTGGCCACTCCCAGGGTAGACTTGTCTAACCATTAACCAGCACTGGCCACTCCCAGGGTAGACTTGTCTAACCATTAACCAGGACTGGCCACTCCCAGGGTAGACTTGTCTAACCATTAACCAGGACTGGCCACTCCCAGGGTAGACTTGTCTAACCATTTAACAGGGCTGCTTGGATACATTGTCAATTCCTTGGCCCTGTTCCTCTAAGCAAGCTTAGTGCTAAGACGATCGTAGCTCCCATACTAAACATAGACTTACGGCATTGGTAGTGCTAAGACGATCGTCGCTCCCCTACCTTAAAATAGACATATGACAGTGGTAGTGCTAAGACGATCCTAGCTCCCATACCTTAAAATAGGCATATGACATTGGTAGTGCTAAGACGATCGTAGCTCCCATACCTTAAAATAGACATGACAGTAGTAGCGCTAAGATCATTTAGCGGAACAGGCCCTTTACAAGTTGTTCATATTCTTTCAATTTCTCTCAACTAGCGTAGTCCATAAACTCCAGATGACTAGTCACATATAAGGGGGTCTCAATGTCTGCACGTGTCCAGCAGTCACAACGCATCACTCTCACTGTTAGGTGCGGAGACAAGGTTCTCGCGGGATGCGACAGCTGATTGTGCATGGAGGCGAGAACCTTGCCTCCTAGTTGCTGTATACGTTATGTATTCCTTCAGGAATAAATTGTTGATCATGTTTATTAGCATGTGCAATTATTAAGCATTGAGGCATTTGTTTTTATTTCATTATATGGCTGAGTATTGATGGGTCATGTGTCATCTGGTACAGGAGGAGGCCCGTGAAGATGCGGCGTAGAATCGGTCTTCAGCAACCCATGCTTGCTGTAGAAAGCTACTATTCTTGTCGTAAGAGACGATGGACGGGATCTGGTGGTCAGGCTCACTGACTTGGTTGATGCATGTTATGGTATCCCAATTGCGTAGATCGATGCTCCTGATATCATTCACTGGATTGTCTGGTCCAGACTTAATTATTTACAGACCGCCGTCCTATAGCTGGAATATTGCTGAGTGAGGCATTAAACAACAAACAAACAAAATGGTACAGGAGGGTTGATGCAGGTGCACAAGTAGAAACGTTCTTTTAAATCGCTGTGTGGTGGCAAGTGGTTGTGTGTACAGTGGGTATGGTTTTACGCCTCTTCTAGCATCATTCCAGCAATATCACGGCAGGGGACACCAGAAATGGACTTCACACATTGTAATCATGTGGGGAATCGAACCCGGGTCTTCGGCGTGACAAGCTAACACTTTAACCACTAGGCTTCGCCACCACCCCTCATGTGTACATGAGGTGGCCCAGTCGTCTAAGGCGCCGCGATTTGCTGTGCAGAGTTGCGTCCCTTGGACACACCAGAAACCTATGATTGTGGGTTCGAAATCCGGGTTCGCCCCAATTGTTTCTAGGTTTGTCAGCACCATACCCATGCTCGTGGGTTTCACCAAAGTGGTAAACGTCACTTCGGTCTTTCCTCCCACATCAAGCTGACACGCCATGATATAACTGGAATAATGTTAAAAGCGGCGTTAAACCCCACTCACTCACTCACTCATGTGCACAGCACACAGGTCACAGCTGTCAACTGTCATTGGTTGGGGAGTAGTTGAAAAGGTGACTGCGGTCAGTAGCTTGCCCCGTAGTCTCTAGCTTCTGTACTTACAGAACTGGGATGGTACAGATTTGTCCTCAACAACTTCTAGACAACGAAATGACACAAAAAAGATGAAAACATTCTGTGCCGTGACTTTATGTAAAGCGAAGTTACTCATCCTTGATTGCAATCGGAAGAACACTTATCATAATCAATTACCGTATTCGACGTAATAAGCGCCCCGCTCTAATAAGCAACCACGGCGATATTTACTAATATATTGCCTAGTGAACAATCCCAATTAGCACCCCTTCCGATTGATCAGCGTACACAAGACTTGTTTATTCGTGTATGATACGCACCCTTAATTATGGGCAATTAAATTCTCGGAAATATATCTATCGTGTATAATACGCACAGATTCTTCTTTTATATCATTTCAGGCTGTCAGCATAAACCACAAAATTTACAATCTTTCAACTGTTTTTTATCTCACACCAAAATTATATTCTAATAAGAGCCCCCTATTTCTAATTTTGAGAGCGCCCTGGGCGCTTATTGCGTCCAATACGGTTATCAAGCAGCATTGTTGTATACATTCATGAACATTCACAAGCTTGTTTGTATTTTGTATGTATAAAATAGTATTAAATGAACTGATGTGTAGTTAGGTGGTAATTCAAGGTCATGTTAATTTTCAAGGCAAGCTTGTCAGGTAAAGACACCAACCAAGTGACTGGTCTTCAATGTCATCGTATCCAAATTATCAATATCGAAACTCAGTTCAATCAGTGGAGATCTGGGGTAGAATAGATCTTCAGCAACCCATGCTTGACGTAAAAAGGCGACTATGATCGAGTAAGTGCGAACTGACGGGATCGGGTGGTCAGGTTGATGCATGTCAATGTATCCCAATTGCATGGAGCGATGCTCATGATGTCAATCACTGGATTGTCTGGTCCAGATTTGATTATTTACAGTCCGCCATCATATAGCTGGAATATTGCTGAGTGCGGCCTTAAACAACAAACAAACAATCAGTGGACACTCTGGTCCAGACTCGATTACAGACCGCCGTCATATAGCTGGAATATTGCTGAGTGCGGCCTTAAACAACAAACAAACAATCAGTGGACACTCTGGTCCAGACTCGATTACAGACCGCCATCATATAGCTGGAATATTGCTGAGTGCGGCCTTAAACAACAAACAAACAATCAGTGGACACTCTGGTCCAGACTCGATTACAGACCGCCGTCATATAGCTGGAATATTGCCGAGTGCGGCCTTAAACATCAAACAAACAATCAGTGGACTTTCTGGTCCAGACGCGATTATTTACAGACCGCCGTC